CCCACACCCCCTGCTTGTGTCCCCTCTCTCGCTGTGTCTCTCTCTAATAAATAAAATCTTAAAAAAAAAAAAAGACATGAGGTAATGCTCACAGATGTTAAGGGAGAAAAGCCATTTGCACATTTTGGTTTGTGTGTGTGTGTGTTTATGTGTATTTCAGAAGGCTATTCAGTAACTGTTCATGGAGGCTCTTTCTTGGAGGAGAACTATGGGGTAGAATTTATTTTGTTTTTGAAAAAATTTCTGCACAGAAATTAACACATTTTGCTCTTGAAATGGGGAAAGCACCAGAAAACGTTATTTATTTTCACTTTTGGGGACGTGGAGAGAGATCTCTCAGACATTGGGTTCATTGCCCTCCTTGGGCACATTGTCGTTTTTGGCTTAAGACGTAACTTTAAAAAGAAATCCTCACTACTACTGCCGCTAGAGGGCACTCTTCTTAAATTTTAGACTGTGATGTTGAAGATTGGGAAAGGAAGTTTCAAGCTTTCTTATCAATCCAGTTGGAGGACTCTTGGGCCTGTTTGTTTGCTTGGTTTTAAATAACCTTTTTAAATTTTGTAATAATTTGAGATTTACAGAAAAGTTGCAAAAGTAGTACAGAAAGTTCCTGCGTGCCTTTGCCCAGTTTCCTGTAACGTTAACATCTTATGCAAGAATGCTTTTGGCAGAACTGAGAAATTAACACTAGTACATTACTATTAAGTACTACAGACTTTATTTGGATGTCACCAGTTTTTTCATTAATATTCTTTTTCTCTTCCAGTATGTCACACTGCATTTAATAATTTTTTTTTAACAAATACAGCCACTCACTGTGGTAACATCAGATTACTATTGCTATTTTGCATGAACATCTGTATTTTCTAAAGAAAGGTAAAAGCAACTTTTCTTTCATTTCTCTTTTTATTTCTGTTTCATTTGTAAAAGTTGTTTCACTTTTCAACCCCTACGTCCGCCCAACATTTCTGTCATTTGCAGTGTGTAGAATGATCATTTTAGTAATTTTATATCTTCTCCAATTAATCCTGTTTTTATTTTCAATTCTGTGGGGTTTTTTTTTTTTCCAGTTTATGTCTCCCTCCCGCAGCAGGATGTCATTAAAAGATGAATACTATGGAATTATCACTAATTTTGTTGGGTCTAATAATGCACTGTTCTTAGGGTTTTTTTTTTAAGGCCCTTATTTATGAGAGGCGTGCTGAAATATTTACAGATGAGATTATTTATTTTAAAATACTTAAACAAATAAAAAAATTGGGGAGCTAGATCAAATAAAACAGGGTGTGTCCATGGGTGTCCGTTAGATGTTCTTTTATTGGTGTATGATTGAAAGTCTACAATTAAAATGGAAATTTAAGGGGCGCCTGGCTGGCTCAGTCAATAGAGAATGCAACTCTTGATCTCGGAGTTGTGAGTTGGAGCCCCACATTGGGCATAGAGATTACTTTTTTAAAAAACACTGGACCTTTAATTTAAAAAATAATAATTTTTAAAATAATTTAAATTAAAAAAATTTTTTTTAGATTTTATATATTTGTCAGAGAGAGAGAGAGCGCACAAGCAGGGGGAGTGGCAGGCAGAGGGAGAAGCAGGCTCCCCGCTGAGCAGGGAGCCTGTTGTGGGACTCGATCCCAGGACCCTGAGATCATGACCTGAGCTGAAGGCAGACGCTTAACGACTGAGCCACCCAGGCACCCCTAAAAAGTTTTTTTTTAATGGAAATTTAAAAGAATTGAACAGTAGAGGCTTTGTTTTAATGTGACAACACCAAATTCTGTGGACTGTGTGGATCAGCAGCTATTCAATTCAACAGACGCTGAGAGATCAGTGTACCACACATCTGTAGATTCACAGCTGTATGTCAGAAACACACATCTCCCAGGCACTGCATGAGCTGCCAAACAAACAAGAGCAGACCATCATGCACCCTTCAAGAACCTGAGTCAGACATATTTGAGCCTTGGGGTGGAACCACCCATGCAGTAAAGGCTAATTAAAAATGAATCTTGGCTGGTAGCAAATAACCTGTATTTTCAAGGGGATTTTATTTGCATCTCTCCTAGTTTTATGGGTTTGAGTTGACTCATCTCAGCCATGTGGTTAATAAATGGAAGATTTATTATTATGCCTGATAATAATAATAATTTCTGATAATAGTAATTTTAAAATATTGTATAGATTGTAATTTTTCCAAGGACCTGCAGCCTTTCCTAATTACCACAATTATCCTATTGATCATTTAGCTAAATTGTAGCCACCAGTAGCTGCTGCCTTTCTGCTTGCTGAAGTCAGCTTCTCCTCTGCCCCCAGATCACTGAAGGGCCCTACCGCCTCACTCACTGGGCTGGCGCTGAGCTCTGCTCCGCTCTGCTCTGTGATGCCGGCAAAATCTAGCCAACACTTGTTTCCGTCTCTCTTTTTATTCTGCAGCAGAAGTATTGGGAAGCCCTAAACTCGGAGCAGGTATGGACAATCATACTCTCTCTATTCCAGAAGGAACGTCCCTGTGGCTTGATTCCATTTGCTGTTTTTGTGAGCCCTCCTTGGATGGCCGGGCCCATGCTACATTCCTTTCGGTAAAAAAAAAAAAAAAAAAGAATGAAAACGAGAGGGGAGTCGGAGGCTCAGGGGATTTTCCAGCCTCTCTCAGTTCAGAGTTCTTTCTGCTCTGCCCAACCATCTGGTAGGGACTCAGAAGATGTGTAACCCAAGGAGAAGCATGGTTTGGAACAAAAGCCCAGGGACAAGCCGAGTAGCTGCAGGTTAGCCGTGGTAGTGGTGCTGGGGGTGGCTGCATCCCCCCCACACTGTCATTCTGGGACCCTAGGCCGCTGGCGCTGTCTTCATGCCTCCCTGGCCTGCAGGGGAGAGCTGAGCTTGCTTTATGCCAACCACCTGTGCCTGTCATCTCCCAGGATTCCTTCTGGTAAGAGTGGAGATCATCCTTTGCTCAGATTTTCTTTATGCCTGGATTCCAGCAATGTTTTTATTGCTTAAGATGAGGTTTCAAAACGCAGCATTCTGGGGATCCAGAAGGAAAACATTTAAAATGTTTTCATAAGCTTAACCCACTTCAAAGAGTGTACTCGATCGAAGAGGCTGGCTGTTTGGTGGCAGCTGAGTTGGTCAGGAGTAGCAAGAATAACTCTTAAGCGCTTTCGGGAGCTGGAGCGGTGATTCTGAAATACCGCAGCGGCTAGAAATCACCCTAGGCACTTGTTAAGATGTCAAACCTTAGGTTCCCAAACCAGAAAGGGTCGAGGGTGGGTGCCCGGCATCCGTCTTTTTTAACGAGCACCTTGGGCACTTCGGGTGAGGTTGATCCACAGCCCACTCTGAGAGCTGTGATCTGGAACATGGGCCTCAGCCTGAAATCGGCATTCATCGAAAAGTATACTATACATCCTCAAAAAATGGAACAGGCCCCTACTTCCACTACTGGGCACCTGGGCCATGGAGGCTGAAGGGCTAGGGAGCTCTTTGACTGGGGCTTTGCTTGTTATCCCCCCCACCCAAGTCTGCAACCACACGTAGATAAGTTAGTATTGGAAGGGGCTGCCACAGCCCCAGACAGGTGCGGGAGCCAAGCTGCACCAACGGGATCAGCTTAGTCCCTGGCCTGCAGGGTTACTGGGGAGGGGGTGGCACTTTTAACATGACGCTCTTTTTAGTCACCAAGTAGTAAAACTCCATTATCGGTAAATCACTAATTGAATTGGGCTCTTCCTTTCTATTCAAAACAAAGCCACATTTTGTATTTTATAACTGGCATGGTGTGGGCATTTCTCTCAGTGGCTCAGGGAGCCCTGCAGACCTCATCTGGGACCCCTAAGACTGGACTGTTGGATTGAGCTTAAGTTTGAGCTGCTGGCGGCGTGTTTTTGTTGGAGTTCGTACCACGACTGCTGGTCTCCCTGCCCAGATAGGTCATCTGGCCCAGGCGGACACGTCTTTTCCTGTGCTTTTTCCTGGGTCTCTTGATATTGTCAAATGTGACCTTGTCATCCGAGTTATCAGTCATAGAAACTCAGAATTTAAAGAGGTCATATTTAGTGTTGATCTAACACCCTAGCTTACTCCTGGAGAAACTGAGGCCCAAAGAAGAGAAAGCAAGTTAGTGGCAGAAGGACTTGAGTCCAAGTCCCACTTGCCTCCATGGCTGGACTCACCAAGAAGTCCCTGCTCTTGGCCACGTGCAAAGTTCTCTCTCTCATTGGTCACATGAAGAACAATAGGAGGGCTTCGCAAACCGTGTCATCAATGTATTTGTGACTGCTTCTCTTTTTTCAACCTTTTACACCTAACCTTTCCCATACTTGTGTAAGTCAGAATAATAAAATATTCACCGCAGTGACCACCATTCTTGATTAAGTTTTAACTGTTTGTTTTGGACAAGCCTGCTGTGCCTCGAGTTTAGAGGAAATGGCATGGTGGGGAGGAGGGGCAGGCCGGTGCCCCGCTCTTAAGGAGCTCATCGTCTACCTGAAAGGACCAGGTGGTGCCCATGCTTAGCTACAAATGAACGGTATGGGCAGAACAAAGAAAGAGGGGTGTGAGAGCTCAATGGGTGAAAGCAGTCAGAGTAGGCTTCCTGGAAGAGGAGGTACTTACCTGGGCCACAAAGAATGGGTTGAATTTGCCTGGTCTATTCCAGGAATGACTTAGGCATGGAGGTGGGCATTCTTGGGATAAAATGACTCGTTCTCACTAGAGTAAAGGTGGAAAAGGGGGGTGGGAAGTGGGGCTGGTCCGTTCCAGGTGGCTGTCCATTAACTCCTTGCTCTAAAGTTAAACGTGTCCCATGAGGTCCTAGAAATGCAGGCCTGATTAACCTGCCCTTACTGTTTCTCCTGGTCTGTGCCTGGGTCATGAGAACCAGGACTGGAAGCTGTTGTTAGCGGGGCTGGGGGAGGGGGGCAGGTGGCGGTGGTGGCTTTGTAAGAGATGGGAAGCATCTGTTCCATCCAGGTACAATTTGTGTCTTTTCTCCACAGTGGGACCCTGAAGACGTAAACCTTGAAGGGAACAAAGATAACATGGAGATGCTCAGATCCCAGGTGCATAGGAGCTCCATGGGCCCAGTGGCCCTGACGTCTGAGGAGGAACACCTCAGAGCCCCCAGTGAAGCGTTTGTCAGGAACTGAGCAGGGATCATCCTACAGTGACACCCATGGCAGGAATCACAGCTTCCGCAGAGGCGGCGCATGAAAGTGAGGAACCAGGTGCTGTCACTGAGCTTGGCTGCTCTGCATCGTGGCTCAGAATGGAGCGAAGACTCAGTCCCGTGGACAGACCTGGACATGCACAGAGTTTGTTCTGATCAGAAGTTCCCAGACCACTCTTGCTTTGAAGTAGAAAACTTCATCTAAAGGGCATTGGGCCCTCTCTTCCTTTTCCCTTCAGATTCAACCATACCCTGAATATCTGCTAGGTGCCAGGAAGGAGTTCATCTAACAAGTAGCTCATGTGTTTGGGTCTCCATAGAGCCCCATTCTGCAAGACCTGGAGATGAGACGGGTGGGCCCATACGCTGGAGATATAGGACATGGTCACTGGTACTCATGGGACCTGGCTCCTGCCCTCCCAGTCAGCCACTTGAGTTTTCTGCTAGAAGTTGGGAGGTGGGACTGCTTGGTCAACCAGAAGTTTGTGAAATCACAGGTGTTGAAAGGGCAAGAAAAGTTAATTGCTCTAGGTACCAGGACTTGCTCCAACCCGCCAGGGTATGTGCTGGGCAGGGTTTGCAGGTGAGGGGGACGGTCTGCTTCAGGAGCTAACATGAAAGCAGGCAGAGGGTAAGAGGCACCGTGAGAGGTGTTAAATTCAAGCACAGCCATCTCATTTTAGGAGTATTTTGATACTGTGATCACGGGAAAGGGGAAGGGTAGAGGGAATGGGGCCGAGGTGGGAGGCACACTGGAGTGAATAAATCATGACTGAGTTGAAGCATCTCACTGTGGAGCACAGAGATGTCTGAATCCCAGCACAGCCACAAAAGCCAGCCATGAGGGCAACTGAGAGACATGAGGAAACATGGCTCTGCTCCTGGCTGGCCCCTTGGAGCCTAGGTGTGACTCAGTTGCAATTGCCCAGTTTCTCCAAAGGGGTCGTGCAAATCCCAGCAGCATGAAGAAGGGGGTGCCTCAGGGAAGTAGATGGGTTCCACACATCTCTGTGGAGATCTTAATCTTTTGAGTGGCCTCTGAGCTAGAAGGGAACGTAAAGCCTCCCTATTTACCCCCTTTGTCCAACTGCCTTGATCCCTGGCTGTCTTGTAATGGAGTTTGCTAAAGCCAGTTTTTTTGTTTTTTGTTTTTTTAAAGATTTTATTTATTTGACAGAGAGAGACACAGTGGGAGAGGGAGAAGCAGGCTTTCCGTGGAGCACCTGATGCCGGGCTCGATCCCAGGACCCTGGGACCATGACCTGAGCCAAAGGCAGACGCTTAACGACTGAGCCACCCAGGCGCCCCAAGCCAGTTTTGCTTTGTGATCTTAACCACAGAAGCTGTTCTTAGAAGATAAAAGATTTGAGTGGGGGATGGGGTAGAGAGCACATTCCAGATGAAATCATACAGAGGACTGGACACAGGGAAGGATGGAATCCAGTCCGGGAAGGAGGACTCTGATGTGGCCGGGATGGATGGTGCAGTCTGGGCTAGATGGTAAAGAGGCTGGCAAGGCATCAGACCGTGGAGGCAAGGGAGTTGGCACTTATTACTTGGTAGCCACGACCGATACCAGAGTAGGAAGGTGACTGACATGCCTCTGGTAGGCCACGGCTTTTCAGGAAGCAGAAATGTAGTCATGGGCGCAGTAGGAATATGGAGAACATATTTAATTGGAGTGATAACAGCAGAGCAGAAGGAGGGCTCATCTTTAGAAAGGCAAGGCACGGGGATAGGATACCATCTCTGGAGTTTATCTTTTGCATATCCTCCCTTCCTCAAGGGGAAGCTGGCCCCTGCTCCCGGGGGCACCAGAAATTGGCTGGGTCTTGATGGAAATGGCCATTGACCCAAGAACATCGAACAGTCTCACTGATGTGAGCAGCACAAACTACTTGAGTCCCAGAGGTTGTCTGTCTCCCTAGTTCCCATTGTCCCAGCCTTCCTTCACAAACCACTTCCTCATGTTGTGGTCCGGTCTTGTCCAAAGCTGAATCCCAAGTCTCTTCAGCCAGAGTGAACTATTAAACTGAAAATTTTGGAAGCCAACTTTGGCCTCCTTGTTCAATAAGAATCCGCCTGTTATGCAAAGCTCTGGAACCCTGGAGCCTTTGTAAAGAGGTGCCCATCAAAATGCCTTTTTCCTAGTTGGAGAGTCCGTGTCCCAGGCCTCCATTGCAGCTTCACCCCTGTCAGGCCAGGAGGATAATGGGAGTTACTTGCCCTGAAGACTCACAGTGAAGGGGGTTACCTATAAGGGGAGAGGCTGGGGAACAAACTGTAATCATCTTCTCCTGCCCACTCATCTGGATGTGAGTGATGGTATACTAGGGCCTCAGTTGTGCTGCCTATTATCTCCATGGCTTGGAGCATGTTACCTAACCTTTGTGAACTGAGGTAAACAGAATCCCTATCTACAGAGCTTGTTGTGAAGACTAAGTAAATCAACATCCATGAACTGCGTAACACACAACACCTGACTCAAAGTAGACCTTGAAAGGGATTTAGTTTCCTTTCTCCCTATACTTCCTGGCCACTTATGTGCTGAAAGGCTGTTAGTAACCAAAAATATCAGACCCACAAATAGAACGGTCTTCAGAGGTTTGAATCCCCTCAACAATCCTTATAAATGATTATCTAGCCCCCACTTAAGCTCTTCAAAAAAAAAAAAAAAGGTTTCACTATTTTATATTCCAAAGTCTGTATCCTTTAGGGAGAGTTCTGATCACTAAGACTTTCTTAAAATCCTGTCTAGATCCAGAAGAACCACAATCTCCGTATCTCCTGCCAGCACTTCAGTATGCTGAAGAGATCTGCGAGCAACATCTGATGCCACACTCACATCATGTTTGTTACCATGGGGTATAAGCTCCAACAGAATCAGGAGAGGTATTCAGCCAAGGCGCGTGGCTGGGCTCTAGCTCCCAGATCTGATTCAGTGTGATCCTTGTCAAGTCATTTTCCTTTCTGGGTCACAGTTTCCTCATCTGTAAAATGAAAGGCCAGATTTCTTTCTTCCCTTTTATGAATGTGCCACTGAATTTGTTTTCCAGAGAAGATGGACATCTTTATAAACTCTATTAAGACATTTCAGATTTACTTTGAAAATAAGATTCAATATGTAATATATACTTCTGTTTGGATTTTGCTATCCAATTAAGATAAAAATTTGTCTTTGTAACATGAAGGGATCATAGCATTTGACCTTTAAAAATCTTGCAGATTCCTTCCAGTACTGAAAAACCGAAAACTATACACCACCTTCTTTCCACACTTGGGCATTCTGGTGAATTCATTTAGTTTCTTTATTAAAAGGCTCTATTATTGATTGGCAGTTTATTTTGGTCAAGTCTCATTCTTGCTAAACCATCTCTCATATTGAAGGATATATGAAAAATGTTGTCCACACTGGGAGAAAAAGGATCTGTATCGACTGAGGAAAAGGATAGAGGTGTCTTAGGAGTGTCTCAAGACTGACTTCAGAATACTTTCAAGATTGTCTCCACTTCTTTTTCTGCGCCTACTTGACCGTTCTCCGCATTTTCCAACTATGCGGGCATTGCTCTACTCTCTCCGACTTTACATTGCTTTTTTTCCCCAACGTTCAGGTCGATGCTTTGGCAGAGAAGGCTCTGCCTTGAAATAAGCCAAGATACAGCGCAATGCTGACAAAGATCTCTTCAAGTTTACACATCCTATCTGGTATTAATCCAAAGGTCACCATCAGGTGAGAGGGGCGTTCTTAAACAAGAAAGAAGTTCAAGAAATGGTGCTAAATCGAATGATTTGGAGAACATCTGCTTTGCTTTTTCCTTACCAAACTCAGAAAGCTAAACAAGGCACCAGGCATCCTGGACTGCTGCTTCTGGGTTGGACACTTTAACAGCGCGTTAACTTTTAAGTGCCTTCAGATTCACTTCAAACTAAGCTGTTGCTTGGAGCACGCATCATACTCTCCCGATTCCGCCGGAAATTTATCACCAGCAGCCGGCACTGGCGGCAGAGGGCCCTGCTCTTCTCTCCCGGGGTCCTCAGGGTCTGCAGCTGCGATTGCAGCAGGGCTTAGTCCCTGTGGGGGTCAGGGGTTCTTGCCCCTCTTCAAGCCCTGCTGGCCCGATCAGAACTGAATCCGGCCGACCTCGTTCCCGAGAAGCTGCCGAGCCCCGCAGTCCCGCGGTCCGCTCAAAACGCCGCCCGGGCACTTCCGGGAGGACGACACCGCGCGGCTCAGCGCGTGCGCACTGCGCAGCCCCCGCCTCCCGCGAGTCCCGGCGCGCGCGCGGGTTCCCGCCTCGCCGCGGCCGCGCCGGGGGATCACCGGGTCGCCGGGGTCAGGAGAGCGGTCGAACCGGGGCTGCCGGTGTGTCGCTCGCCTCGCTGGTGTGTTAAGGGGATCGTGCTGAGATGATGTTACCTTGCCTAACGTAGTTAGACCACTTGACGTCCTCTATGGTGTACTGTGAATCACTCTCGTCTTTGCTTTTAAATATTTTTTTAAATAAAGATAGCGAGGGTAGTGGTTTGTTTTTTGTTTTTTTTTTTAAGAATCAGGTTGTAGCCAGGTTGTAGCAGGGCGCCTGGGTGGCTCAGTTGGTTAAGAGACTGCCTTCGGCTCAGGTCATGATCCTGGAGTCCTGGGATCGAGTCCCGCATCGGGCTCCCAGTCAGCGGGGAGTCCGCTTCTCCCTCTGACCCTCTTCCCTCTCGTGCTCTCTGTCTCTCATTCTCTCTCTCTCAAATAAATAAATAAAATCTTAAAAAAAAAAATCAGGTTGTAGCAAAACGTTTATGAAGAAAAACAACAGTGCCCTGCTCCTCCCCTCCGCCCTCAACAGCCCTGCTTCTCAAGCAACCCTCCTTTTTTTCTCTCTCTCTCTTCTTTTCCCTTGCCTCCCCCCTCCCCCCTTCCTTCCTCTTTATACTAGTCTTGCTTGTTCTAGTAGTTTTCTCACTAGGTTTGATTTCAAACATGCTTTTCGGCTCTCAAGTTCCGGGAGGATACTTTTTTCTCTTAGCTGGACTGTCTCCAGCTTCCCGACGTGCGGGCTAATGAGGCGGAGC